GTGATTTTTTGGCCCACCGTGGGCCCTAGGGTTGTTCTATTGCAGGGGCCGATGTAAGCGTGGCCGAATTCGGCCGAAAACGGCCAACCCGAGGTGAATCGCCGCCGCTTGCCGGAGCACGACGTAGCCGCCGTGCTGGAATTGCGATATTGGCCGAAAGGGGCCCTAGGTCTAATTTGGGAATTTTTGGGACACGTGCAGGTACTAGTAGTGCGTTTCAGCTCCCCGGGAAAAATTCAGAGAAAATTAGGGACAGCTTGTAGGCGCACTGTAGAGCCGTATTCAGACCCCGAAACAAGTAAGGACCTCTCACCCTATTTCCTATCACGGTATTAAAGTTCAATAAATGATAAAACGGTATTTCATGAATCAATAGATGTGTAAAATTGTTTAAGTCGCTAATGGAGCCCGAGTCTGGTGTATTTGTCGGTCAATTGTTGTTTGTTCTTTTTTACAATTTTAAATGCAGTATGAGGTCTGATGTTTTCATTTCATAGTTTCGTGTGCATATATCACTGTTTTATTGATTATGGGTTGAATGACTGAGAACCCGATGTTGTATGTTGTCTTGTTTGGCATGAATTACTGGTTGCTTGTTTGTGTGTGATTTGATGATGCTGACTGAGGAAAAGGGGAATGAAAGGTTATGTAAATTGATAATTGTATAATGTGGTCAGCCTGACTAGATATCCTGGGAGATGGTGGACGGACCGGGTCCGTAGGGAACCCTACCGGGATTGTGGTCTCTCATACCGGACGGGGTATGGAGACCTTATGTGTTTTGGCGTCCATACCGGACGGGGTATGGGAACAGCCCGTTTCACCCTCATACCGGACGGGGTATTGAGGTTTATAGTTTTGGCGCCCATACCGGACGGGGTATGGGGACGACCCTAGAATCTGATTACAAATGTTAAAGGTTCACGGGTAGCAGGACCCCTATGGATCCCCATGGATACTAGTAGGCTGGTAAATAAGGAAAAACATGTTGTGTAATGATTGAGATGCAAAAGACGTGATAAGTATTATGTTATACAGTTCCTTTGATTTCGTGATGATGACAATGTTATTGATTTCGTATATTATTTTATGAATTTCACCGAGGTAAGTGGATAGTAAAGGATTTTATTATTGATAAAAGAATTTGTTGTAAACTATGCTCCGTTGGTCTTTTTGTATTTTCTACCCACCTTTACCTCCGTGACGGTGAGATAATGTGATGTCCTTACTGGGCTGGTGTAGCTCATTCCTTATTTAATCATTTCATATCAGAAAGACATTGTTCCTGAGCCCGTTCCGCAGGAAGACGGCGAAGGGGATGCCTGAAGACTCCGTAGTCATATTTATAGCTTTTATTTTCAAATTTCTCTTTTAGTTAGTTTGTTCTTTTATACTTTGAGCACGTTTTTGGTTTTAGTGTAAGGGATGTTTAATCAAAATTTTTATTACGCTTCCGCATTTGACCTTTTTAATACACACATTTCATTTTAAAATTCCGGGGCCGTTACAGTTGATATCAGAGCCGCATTTCCTCGGACCCATCCCTTACACAATAGTGCCTTAGAGAAATACTCATCGATAGATCGTTATTCAACCATTCCTTGTGAATGCAGGTACACGGAAATGAGGAGAGGAAGGCCCCCACTAAACCGAGCGGCCCAAGATAATTCGCTTCGGGAGGATTTAGACAGACTATTTGAGATGGTGGAAGCTCTTGTAGCTGCCCAGCAAAGGCGAGAGGAGAGAAGGGAGTTACCCGGACCTCCTCCGCTATCGCAGGTTGAGCCCCCGCTACAGTAGGCTGATCCTGAGCCACCCCGGCAAGAGCCTGCTCCTCCACAGTACCACCCGGCACTACAGCCGCAGTACGACCCGGTACCACAGCCACGGTACCACAAGGCACCGCCACAGCACATTCCAGTACCCGCACCACATCAGCAGGTGCCACCACAAGGCCCCCCAGTTCACCCTCAGCCGGCCCCAGTCCCTCTACCCCGGGATCCCGCTCCTTCCTTGATCGACCCCGGCTTCATAGAGAGGTACAGAAGACTGAACCCTTCTACTTTTGCAGGGGGATCCTCTTTTGAAGAGGCCCAATACTGGCTGGCAGAGACCGAGAGAGCTTTCGAGACCTTGGGAGTAGTTCCTGAGCAGAGGGCTGCCATTGCCTCCTACATGCTGGTAGGGGAAGCAGTACGCTGGTGGGAGCTCAAGCGGACCACCCTGCCTACACCAGCTACTTGGGAGCAGTTCTTAGCGGCCTTCTACGCAGAGTATCTCCCTAAACACATCCACACCTGAAGGAAATGGAGTTTACTCAATTGGTCTAGGGAAACATGACAGTGTCGGAGTATGCCCGTAAGTTCTTGGAGCTGGGCCGATATGCCCCAGAGACATTGATGGATGAGGGCCGAAAGGCCAGGAAATTTTAGTGGGGTCTCCGCCCGGAGATCAGACAGCACTTACTGGTAATGGAGCTCGAGACATATTCAGCAGTCC